ACAAAAATAAGATAAATTAGTTAACATATGTGGAAATACATGGAAAGGAGTAAACGAAGGTGAAAGAAGTAAACAAAGGTGAAAGGGGTAAACAACACTGAAAAATTTACAGATCAAGGTATGTACATGAAATTTATCATGGAAACTGAAAATTACAAAGAAACTGCTTATAAATAATAATAAAATAGCACTGTATAATTACTGTAATAATTGTATATAATATCCTGGGGTCACATAAATCAAACACTGTACAATGATATCATCTTGATTTATATCACTTTACACTTATAGGAGGGAACTTGGTTAGCTACAAAAATAATGATTCAAATTCTACTGTTGTCCCGGGACTGTTGTACATGTATAGATTAATTTAAATGTTCTTCATTATTATGTACAACCCCCCCCCGCCATGTCCCTTAAATATTCTATCAAATATTGCTTTTAATTTCTGAATGAGTACAATTTGTTAACAAGTTAACAAATATAACACCGCATAAAAACACATTATAAATTATTCCACAGCAACGTTGTAGGAACTAACAGCTAAGACAACTCGTTAAGAATCAATAAATTCATTGTTTATTATGGAGACTGAGAAAAGCACACAAATCCCATGAACGTTAACATTATTGAGATAATCGCGATAATCTTTTATCTTATTCTTTTCATTTTTTATTCATTAATCATTATTGATATTTTTTGAGGGGTCATTTCAAATATATTAAATAGGTTAGGCTTCACGTTTTTGAGTGAATGTGTTATATATGACCCTCATGGATTACTGTCCCCTTACAGTTTTTCCAGGGACCTTATTTAACAATTTTTCTCAAATTTCACATTATACCTTTACACTCAATTAGACAGGTAAATATTATGAACGGGAGAACTTTAATCCCTAGAGAACAATAATCTACACGTTCACATGCAAGTTCTCCTAATTCTCATTTAGCCTAACTTCCTTATTATATCATTTACTGATCAATATCTTAAAATTATATTGACCTGGCATAAAGACAAATAAATGTCAAACGTTTATGGTATACCAGAGAAAATTAGTTTTTATCAAGTTCAAAAGTCAAAATTTAGGTCAAATCAAAGTTTTTTAAATTTATCAAACCCTGACACTACACTTCTGTATTTTTTCTTAACATTTTTCAGTATATAATAATATAATATATATATAATACAGCTATACATTAGTTTCTTTTCGTGCTAGCCTTTTGCCATCTGGATTCTTTCAACTTGCTTCAAATTGTAAGACTTATTTCCAAAACCATCTATGCTTTTTAGGATATATATTTTTGAACCAGATGCATTTTTATGAAGAAAATAAGCTTCCAAGCATCCCTAAGTTGCAATCTTGATGTCTAGTATTCTTTATTCTAATTTCAGAACAAGTCAACTGACGAATCAGATCAAAGGTCATGGGTCAAGGAGAAGGCACAGGTGAAGGTCAAGGAGAGGGGTCAGGCAAAGGAGGACTCTGCCCAGGGATCCTTTGGGGAATACTATGGTTCTTTATTCTATGGTTCTTAGGATGGCCAATTGCATTTTTCGTTGCATGGTGGTATATATTCCTACTTCCATTTAGTGCATGTATCGAACCTTTAAAAGGAGTCTGTGAAGCACTACTGAAAGTTGTCAACCTACCATTGACCTGTGCAGAAAACATGATTGCAATGAAACCACTATGTGGTTGATCATGAAATAGTTTGGGTGTGTCATGACATTCACTAAAGACGGGACAATACACCTAAATGTTATATAATTAAGGGTGCTCAACTTTATATTAACAATTTTGAAAATAAACATGGAAATCCAAACTTCATAATACTCATGTGACGACAGAAACTAATCATTTAACAAAATAAAGAAAACAGAGACACAACTATATTTCTAATAGTAATGTCCTTCAAACCATCTCTCATTTCACAACAAACTAATGTATGACTCTTCAGATTTTCTTGGATTTAATGATGAGAAGCATCCCATGATGGTACAGAACATTTGAACGATGTACTAAACTCTTCAAATTCTGACGAATCAAATGGAATCCATCAGGATCTTGTCATTAATGCTGGACATCACCAATCAAACAAGAAGCCATTCATGATACTAACCCAGAGAGGCATCTACTTTGTAATGACCTAAATGTAACATTAAGCATATTTTTAAGTGACAGTATGGATATACTCGTATGTTATATGTGAAAACTGAACACAGTCACATGATCTCATTAAACAGACAAATCAATCAATATATCGTTAATCATGCATTTAATGCATCATATTGTTTACAATTCTAGGAATGTAATAAGAATAGTCATCTGTCTAGATTTTTATAGACTGGTCAAATATTAAACTTGCCTGTACAATGCATTGATACATGCTACAAAGATAAGTAAAACATGTATAAATGGAACACAATAAGTACAAAATATACTTCTAAATAATGTTATTCTTTAGGGTAGTGGTATTCTTGGTATTCTTTAGGTCCACTCATTTTATTCATTAAATTAACAGAACTTTGAAAAGTGCTCCACTTATGGAGGTGTTTCACTTAAAAGGTTTTTACTCTATATCATAGAACACAGATGTATGTACAGAGGCATAGTGAGGATCTAAGAATAAGTGAGGCAATTTAAAAAGTGAGCCAAATTAAAAGGGAAATTACTTCATAATTTGAATTTTAGTTTTTCAATTAAAAGTCTGAATATATATCTCTTAAGCAAAGCTATGCCACTGTATATGCATGGATTGGAACTAGAGTACACAAGTAGATATTTACATAATAGTCTACATTATTGCAAATCATAATTTAATTAAATAAGATTTAATTGTATGTACATATGCACTTACGAGTCCATGGAACCTGATATTCATTCAGTATTGATTCTTCTTTCACGAAAGTAGAAGGAATAGAAAAAAAACTGTTGCAAGCAATGTTTAACATCTTAATCTTATTTCTGAAAATGAAAAATTAATTGAGATATCTGATGAAATAACGAAGCCAGTGAAGATATCCAAGATGCAGAAATGGCCAAATTCATGAAAATTAAAAAAAGTGAACATTCTTTACCAAAAGTTTTACCAGATTATCTTGAAATGTTGTCATAACTGTTGGATTGTTTTTAGAAATATGAAATAGAAGGAATGAATAAACAAAAAATATCATAAAATTGAGACATTTTTTCAGAACTGTCTCCATCCCTTCTACTTTCTTTTGTTAGGATGTCTGGGTTGGGATTGTATGTATTGAATACTCAGGGGTTAGATCAGGGGTTAGATCTGATGAAGATGTTACGATTAACCTAAGACTGCAAGCAATTAAGGCTAACTTTTAGGAAAACTAGGCCTTTATCAGTTATTCGAACTATCAAAAATATCAGGGAAATAGGCCTCAGAGTCCTAGAAAAAATGCCTTAAAAACTTCAAAAATGCTAAATTTCAACATTTCTAAGTAACATTGTTAAACTTGCTAAATAAAACTAATGTATTGTGAAGTAAAACGAATCATATCGTGACTACAAGGGCCGATCAAAAAGTTTCTTACCGTTGATTATCAATACTATAGCTATTCTTGGCCAAATCTATTAGTTCTATCCTCTGATATCACAAAAAACAATCATTACATCGATTCAATAATTATTATTCACTTATAAAAAGGAACTGTTGTAATTTAATGTCAACGGAAGCTGAAAATCAATTTGCAAATCAATAATCTGGGGGAGGGGACGGGTGATTTATAGGTGTAAACAATTTCAAACAGCAACTGACAAAATACTACCTGTATCGATTTCTCGTGATGTGAACATGAATTGTATATTAATTTTAAAAAAATATATGATTTGTAAATAGATACATATATTAACTAAACACATGTAAACTATGTAGATTTAAATAAATAATATTTTATAAAGAAAGGATGGTTGTCTTGTTTATGTACATTTTCAAAACATTATTAATTAGGAAGAATATCATGAACTGGATGTGTATGAATCATGACCTATTAATATCAAATGTTTATCATTGATTCAGTTTGCTATTCTATGTTTATCCATTTAACTAATGTTCATCAGGCCCAAGGATTGTATTATCCTAAATTCAGCAGACCCTAAGTTTGTTTTTCAATGTTTATTAGGACACAGTTATCTTTCAGGCCCTTTATTCATTACCCCATGTTCATAATGCCCTCCTTTCAGGCCCTATATTAAAACTCGAAACACACTAAAAGACTTTCAAAATTAACTCACACACTGATCAGGTTATCTACCTACAACATTAGAGTATTTCTTAAAAAGTGCCTTTATTCCTTATCTATAAAGTACAGGTTGTCCCAAAAGATTGTACCAAGACAAATGTAGAATTATTTTGATGAAATTTGGTCATAAATTTGTTTTCCATTGATGAATATTTCAATTTTTTGACAAACTTTTTTTCTGGTTTATGGGGAACATGATGAATTGATGATATCGCAATTATAAACATCTGAAAGTGTCACTGTTAACTCTATAATAGAGAAAAGCTTGTTTCAGAACAGTCACTCATTTTCCCTGCTGCCCATTTTACTTTGCATTGATTTTGAGCCATGCCATCTAAAATGTCAAATTGCTCAGTAAATCATTACAAACTTCTATATATTTCTAACTGTCATGTTCATTAGAAAATTGAATTCTCTTCATCATGTGAAAAGTTCAGCTTTTTTCAAAAAAGGAAGAAAGATGTATTCTTGTTTATTTGGGTATAACCTTTTGGGACGTCCTGAACTTCTTAATTAATACCCGAAAAAAGGTCAATTTGCAAGTGCAATTATTTTTTTTGGGAGAAATACTGGAATTCATATCCTCAATTCTTAGCCCTAAGCAAGGTATATCAGTGTTCTATCCAAAAAGTGGTTTTATGGTGTTTTGAATTCATCTCTATGATTAAAGGGGATGATTAAATATCGAGAAGGCACATCTAATAGTAAAATACAAAGCATCCAAAAAAAATTTATCTTACCGATTTTGGGCAATCTATCATTTCACTAAGTTTTGTCGAAAATTCCCCGATTAAGTCATGTGACCCATCATCGTCATAATCATAGCAAATCACCTAGGATGGAATAAACAACGTTTAAATAACAAAAAATTAAATACCTGTTTGGCTTCGCAGTTTGCTAGCTCAGAAACAGGAAGTGAGATATCACCAATCAGATCATTTTCATCATCATCGTCATGGTCGTAACACGACACCTATAATAATGTAATAAATATGCAGCCTCGTTTTGATTCAACGTTAATTCCTTTAAGTCGAATTCTTATAGATCACAACCACAAAGAGGCAACCAAAACTATAATAAATATTTAATTGTTACGATAACAGTCTTTTTATTTGTCGGTTATAACAATACTATAGTGCGTATGTATGATTGATTTTCGCACATTTATAAGTATATTGTCAGTTCTCAACAATGGCAATTGAATATGAATTATTCATATCACATAGTCTAAGTTCACTGTCAATGTGGACATTCATTTAGTTCTGATTTATTAATGTCCTCCTCTACTGAATTGTATAGTGACTTAATAATAACTATTTTCTTTATAAGGTTATAATCAACCAGGGGTGGTTGGTTATATAAAAGGTGGACTATCATTTTTGGAGGACATTAATCTGCTTTGATTAATAACCATGACAATACTATGATGTCATGTTTCATTTCTAGCAATTAATATGCTCACACAGATGTTTTACTAAAACACAACCTGGTCTAAAAGATCACGGTATGCTGCACAATGACATTAAGCATCTTTTACTAACCTTTATTACTTTATCATAGTGGCCTCCACACAGCGTTCTGATTGGTAGTTCAAATGGCTTCCATTGGGGATTAAGGTTATTATCAACCACCTAAAAACAGAATTGAAACTTTTTCTAAAGATTAAAAACATAAAATAAATCCTGTCTAATCCTAATTCTGCTGGGACAAGCCAAAATTACTCAGATTGGTACAAGTGTTTACATTTCAAAGTTTTTAACTTTAAATGGCAATGGCAGATTAAAACAAAGCATTTACACACAAAACGTCACCACCAACGTTTGTTACAGACACCAAACACCGAACACCAACTGATGACGGCTGCCACAAAAAGTTGGAGACTTAAGTATGGTGCAGTAAAACCTGTATATCTGAACATTTCTCTACTCTGAACATTTCTCAATGTGAATGCTTTTTGATCACATTTGATCTCTGGCAGAGACTTCCATGCTCAATATCCTTGATATGTGAGCATCTGCCTATTCATACACTTTGGGTCTGTTCCAGATACATTCAGATAAAACAGGATTTACTATTTCCTACATCTCAACATTTTATATGGCATTATACCATAGCAACAAATAAACAAACAAATGGTACCTCAGTTCTGTGTACGACCACCCATTTCCCATTAGCAGCTTCACGGCAGAATTCTAGGTAAGGGTCAGATTTGCTGAGGAAGTCCTTCTTGTCAAGTTTTTCAGCCCGGAATGACAGCTGTACCACATCATTGCTCCCTTGTATCTCTTCAGCAAATATCTGGCGATAAACATGTAAAGTACTTATTCAAAGAGGTATGCTCCCCTCCATAAGTGTATATAGAAATTTTAGCAAGCATAAGCACAAATCAAGGCCAGATAGTACTCGATGTATCAGTAGCTCAAGAATAGCTCAAAGTTTCTTCCCACCTAGTTTTGAATCTCATATAAAGATGGCAGTCATGTAGTTCATAGGTTATTTTATGAAGAGGATTAAACAGGTGAACTGAACTGAAATCTTATTATACACAGGTTTATATCCCCAAAACCTATTATATGACCCACCCTATACTTTTGGCAGAAGTGTTTTTGGAAATAAATACATATATCATATTCCACAATTCACTGAGTAATAAATGTATTTTTGTAACTTATAGTACTATAAGTACTGTATTTCATATACCACAATTCACTAATAAATGTATTTTTGTAACTAATATCATAGCACTATAAGTACTGTACATATAAAAGGTTTGGAATTCGACATTGGAGTTGTGGAATTTAGACAGAGTAAATCGCCCTGGGAGTATAGACTTTTGAAATTGACTTTCTCAATATAATTTATTTTATGTGACCAGCTATTATTGCTCCCAGGGTGTGGAAATTTGATAGACTGATTTTTAATTTATCAAAATTGCTACCCCTTCTTACTCGTACATGTATGTGGTGGGACTTATATAAACCTTTGAATGGCTGATTACATTTTAGACACAAATGAAAAAATTCCCTTTTTATGTCACTTACTGTGATTGTACTTTTCTTATCAGATTTCTGTTTCACTTGTAGAGGTCTGGTAAATGGACTGTTGGAGACAACCTGAAATCGTGACAAAGTATTAAAGTTTATACGAAATATAGCATTTAGGTAGGCAGAGTAGAACAAATAACATGTATGTAGGCTTGCATATTGATCCCATGTGCTGTAAATGTAGTATACATTTAGAATATTAACATTCAATTAATAATCTATCATATATTCTGATATATTCATGCATACTTTGTACAAAACTGAAAGTTGTAGACCATGAATGGAATAAGCTGTTTGTACCTCAAAATGACATAGGACTATGAATAAGGAAGTTATTAGAAGTTCAGAACATGTGAATATATCTTAAAGAAGCATAATTTAACTATTAAAAGCGTATACCTGTCCCAGAGTGCAGTCCAGTTGCCCCAGGAAATCATCATCATCCAGCCGAGAAGTTTGGTTGTCAATATCATAAACTGCAATCCTTAATTTCTGCACTTCCTCAAAAAAGTAATCAACTTCAAACGTTTTAGTGAACTCAGGATCGTGGCAGTTTTTTATTTGTTCTGTTCTTCCTATCTGAAACATAAATTAGGTTGCACTTTATTGCAAGTCAATAACAAAGGTAGAACAAAAATATAAGATACCGTATTATCTCAATAAAATTTCAATCAACAATTATAGCTTTTTGAGAAAAATCTCCTCTATCCTACTAAAGTCCAACATAAACCAATGAGGAATATTCCACTTGCGACATGGAATATACTGTACATCAGGCAGGACATCAGGTTCCAATGGCATAAAGCTTTGAGCCATGGGGTTCCCAAAGAGTCCCAAAATATGGCTTTCTGGGACCTGATCACGGAACCTATTTACCAAAGTCCCATGGACATGATGGAGTCCCACTATGCCCAGAGTCCCATTTTAAGAAAAATCCCATCTAAATGTACATGATCATTATTGCTTCAAAAGGTCTTGATGCAAGACTATTATAAAGGCATATGATGAATGAATCGCTTTACCTCATGGTATTTCCCTTTTGTTTCCATCATCACCACAGCACAGGGGTCAGACTTACTGAGTACATCTTTGCCCACTAGGTGGCTACATGAGATTCTGATCTCTACACGGGAGAGACATTGGTTGGTGCCTGCTGGAACGGCCATTATTTTGTAATGACCCTCGGTGATGGCTTGAGTCACTTGTTTGAGTAAATGACTGCAGATGTCAATGGCAAACTGGAATTAACATCAGTAAATGACTGACAGCTTCTTAAGTTTTAAAGTTAACTAAAGTTAAACGTTTCATTTATTTACAATTAAATAAAGGAAATCCAGATCCAGTTCCATCTTGAAGGCTCATGGTTTTTCAGTGGCAAACGAATAATCAGTGCATAGGATCTACAGTACTTGTATAAACAGCAAACGCTGACCTAGAAGTAGAGTGGAAGTTAAAATCTATAATTAGATTACTTCACAGGAACCTGTATCAACACCTGACGATCGATTGGTGACCGAACCTTCCAGGTTTTGCCATCAATAAATACCAGATACCAGTTGATACAGGAGTCCGATTATGAACTTTTCCGTATAATAGTACATTCAATTTTTAATTCAAGGTTTGGATATTTCAATAGCTTCATGCTCATATATACATGTAACATCCTAGGCTCCTAGCATATATCTCCCAATATTCATGAAATAAGAAGTACAATTTTCTCAAGGGTGCTACAATTTTTTTCGAGAATCCAATGGAGCAATCCCGATAGGTGCGAGGGTATCCCTTCGTGGGCACACAGGTGTTCGAAAGATCATTATCCAAATCACTCTAGTTTGAAATGTTAAACACAGAAGAAGACATCTACATGTATGTTTTTACAAGTTTAGGGAATAATTCAGAATCAGTTCCGAATACTGTAGTTGAAATTTCCTGTGGATTATTTCACTGGGACATGGAGGGTGAGAAGTTCTCCATCATATTACCGGGGTTTTATTGAAATATATACAGTATTATGGGGAACTTCCCACTTGCGCTGGGATCATTTGAGAGAAGTTGATTACCAGAGTGATATTATAACTCGATAAAAGGCCTGACTTGAACTGTTTGTAGTCCAAGCCAGGATAAAGATACCAGTTCCTGTCAGAGTATACGGGGAGCTGTTTCTACCTTAGGATAACAAGTTACATAATCCTACCACACGTATATGCCCTATGTGTCTGTGTGAGATTTGTAACTCAAATGAAACACAGGCACCAGTATCGCCACCTTTTAGCAGTCGAATTAGAACGATTAAGCCCTTTAAGCCCTTTAAATACATAAGAAGATCTGCTTTGCTTTGCTTTCAGTGTGGGGATACTGGGGCCTGTGAAATGAAATGAAAAAATGAAACTTAAAAACCCCGGAAGTGGTTTTCCAAAACAGAAAAAAATAAATTGCTTACCCTTTTCCATGTAAATAGCGGCACAAATAGTTATGGCATTTATCCTGTAGAATCTATGAATAAGTAAGCTTGTCACTAAAATTATATAATATTATTACTTCAAAGGTAGTTTGTGAAACTAGAAATCGAATAGGATCTTGCAAAAAGTTAAAAAACAAATTATCAGTTTCATCAAAACACCGAACGACAAAATACTACAGAATTTTACCGAACGTGGTTCAGAGTGAAAAGTTTGTTATCTCAGTTTGATATGTTCTGGAATCCTTGTAGCTGACGCACACTGTCTTTATTTTTAAAGTACAAGATCTTTAAACATATGTATAGTATTTCAAGTCGGCAAATATTGTGGTAAAAGGTCATTGCATAAGAATTGCTTTAAAAAATTTCATAAGATCTCAAGCAATGGGGTCAGCAAGGGAAGCTGGAACTGACACTGTTGCTTCTCAACATCAATTGCAACATATATTATCTGATTTGGGAACACTATAAATTATACTGATTTGTATATTGTAAAAAATGTTTTGAGGGTAAAAACCTTATTTGTCTCAAAAGAGGTAAAAGAACATTGGACCAATGATGTATTATGTCAGTTAAATATGGATATTGAATTTAAATATCAAGGCCATTATATAATAGATGTACCAAATTGAGTCTTTAAAGCTCTAAAGGTCACATTTTAATGTCTGAAAGTTAAAGGTCACATAAACGGACAGTGCTATAATATATCGTTTTTATACAAAAATACAATTTTAAACCAAATATTTTCAACTCAGTTTTACTGATTGCCTGTTGTTTTTGAATCAGGTCACAATGCTTCTGTTGCAACCGTCTATCTCACCTACAATAATAGTCATACAAGGTCATTACGTCAAGTGCGGCCAGATATAGAAAGTCATATTGACTCCCATTGAATCTGAACAAGTGGGAACATTATAGATGTGAAGCATGCAGCACATTGGTATTCTCATATACAGTGAAACCTGTATATCCAAATACCTCTCTTATCCAAACACCTCTCAATGTGAACACTTTCTCAGTCCCAGAGATACTCATTGACTTACACATTTATAAAACCTTGAAACGTGAACCCCTGTAAAAGAAATTATGGTCCCCTGGGGATTATGGTCCCCTTTCCTTGCGGCCCTTACTGGCCCTGACTGTGTATGAATAATGAGGAAAATAATTGTAATTAGGTCACCATATAATTCAATAGAGAGTAGGACCAAAATTTGATAGAACCACCTACCCTTCTACACCTATCATAATCGGCACACTTTTGGCTGGTCCCATAAGCATTCAAGTTGGACAGGTTTTACTGCATATGCATTGAAATAAAAAATCAACAGAAATGCAATTTATTTAAGCTACAAAAACCTCTGTTTATTACAATAATCACCACATATACATATAATAAATTAACCTAAATGACCTACATGTATATGTACATATGTACATTATATACAGAAGTTGATGTTTTTTTAGCATGTTTCGTCCATAACTTTTACTACCAGGGCAAGCTTGAATTGTTTAGTTCTAAATAAAAGGGTTCCCACATTGTCCAATCAAAATTCCCTGACTTTTCCTTAGTTCAAGCGTGAAGTTCCCTAACAAAATATTTTTTTCTTGATTAAAAGAGGCAACATACATGTCCACTGATAACATTATTATGATTTCGCATTTCATAGTACTATACAACTTCAGCTTGTGGTTTAGTTTTAAACTTTTCAAAATGTCACTCAAATTTCCTCAACTCAAAAATTCAATGACCATTTAAACATTCAACAAGTGGCAACCCTGTCAAGTGAATCTGTTAAGCAAAATTTGGCAATCATCTGATAATGATACACCCACATGCCTCATTTATTTACTCACAAACTTGAAAGCTTATCAGCTAATTTAACCATCCTGTGGGATATGGCTAGAAATAGAATGTCAGAATGACTGATGGTTCTTGATTTATACTACATGATATAAATTGTCAATAGGTTGTACTAAAAATATACTTTTAAATACCCCAAAACAGACTTTACACCCAACATTTTTCTTCTACAGATTTGTATAAAGTCAAAGTAAATACACTACTACTGTACTAATTAACTAGAATCCAAATAGTCAATACCCGTATTTAGTAACTGGCTTCTATCTTAAAGTACACTATTTATAATAAATACAATCAGGAGCATATGTAATATGTCATTTCATTAGTTTTCAACCAATTTACTTGAAATCTTCAAGGTAAATAGGGAATGTAATTTTGGGTGGGATAAATCAGTCTCATTGTCATCTGATGTCACAATGGATAATTGTCGTTACTATAGCAACATGACAAATGGCGTAGCGGGTCAAGTAAAATAAAAATGAATTCAAATTTTGCTTGATCCAAAAATATGGTTTATAAATACCTATTTGGTGGACATATTTCTGTGATTTTTCATATTTTCAAATACTTCTTGCTTTAGTTTCTAAAGTAACACCTGTATTGTGATATATAATAGTGTACTTTGCTCTATTTTCTTATTATTCGTCAGACTCTCAAAGTCAAAATCATGACTCAAAATAGCGGGGAGTTATCTTCTTTTATGACCATACTCCTTCCCATTACTCAAGCTGCCCATAGTACTGTTGACGAATTAGGGTTCATACAAGCTTTTACTGCCCCATATTCACCAGACAATATTCACCAGATGAAGCACCTTTAGGCTTCGCTACATTTTGGGTGCTAAAGCATTATATGAGAGGTCATAAGTTTGATTCCGATAAGGGACTGATTTCAACGGCTTCAGCAAATCTTCAAGGGATACCAAAGGGAGGAATGGAATACATCTTTATGGACTAAGTTTGTCATCAACGCATGTGCGTCCAGGCTAATGGAAACAATTATAAATGAAATGATCCTCTCAGCAATGAAGAATACTTCTGGATAAATGACTTCAAGAGTATTGTTCTGCCTCTAGTACAAGTAGTTTGAAGCAACCATCTAGGCAAGATGAATATGTTTTGGCAGGAAATTTTCAGATTAACATCAGTCACAATTTGCTGACCCGCGGACCACTTTTACTTTTTTTGTAATTACAATCTTTTTTTTTAAAATTTTTTATCATGCATAGTTTTGTACCAAACAAGCCATGTTTATAACTTTATTAAAACAGCGTTATGATCCACATATCAAAATGCTTCTAACAACTGTAAATATAATCATTCCTATTCCCCGATTGCATATAGTTCCTTACATACAGTATGGAAAAATACAAGCTCAAAATGACACAATATAAAAACATCTCTGGTGTAAACTGCAATACAACAAATACTAAAATGTGCAAGGAGAAAACCAAACTAAGATCCCTACATCCAAAGCTAGTAATAAAAATTATTTGCCTGTACTTTACGACTAGGATAACAGATAATGGCAAAAATAATTTCATCAAATAAACATCAGGTTGCAATTCAAAAATATTAGTATCATTTTTATGTCACATTTCATGTCATCGGTATTTATCATTTAAATGTAAAAGAAAATAAACCACTCATTTATGTGCTTCAGTATACAGTGCATATAGATGTCAGGAATGTTGTGAAAATGACTTCTGGTACATTAACGTTTTCAAATCAAATCAAATCGAACTCAGACCTACAGCCAGGGGTGGGGGTTCAAGTACTTTCAAAACCATGCTACTATTTCACCATTTTGAGTACTTTTCAAGTGTTTTTGGGCCAAATTGTCAACCCCCTTGGCAAAAGCTGGCTATGGGCCTGAAACCAAACACTCAACATTCAATGAGTGGACACTCCTCATGAACATCTCTCTTCTATACCAGTAGACATCTATACTCAGGTAGTGTAGGAGCAATCTCAGCTCATGAGTAACAAAATGTCCCATTGATGATTGTCTGCACATTCTACTGGAACACCATGCGGTGCAGCCTAACCTTGGGAATAACTGAAAACACCATCCTTAATTGTTTGTGTGATGTACTATTCTAGTTTAGTCAGTTTGATAAATATTTCTTCATTTTGTTGGCAAGTTGAATTGGAAATTTAAGCTCCAGTAGCGCTCTCTGTTGTCTGGTTAGACGACTCTTAAGCTGTGTCTAGAAATACATAAATACAAAACTTGAATAAACATATTTTTCAAATTGATATTTCAGATTGTAAAAATGCATAAACGAACAGAGAATTTATCAAAACTGGACAGGTAGTCTGAATTATTTCTATAGAGCAGTAGGAGTCTGTATCCACTATCAATCTTTCATTATTATCTCATGCAAATACGCACCTGCATTTCCTTTAAGTCGCTCCTATTGTCTGCCTTATGGTGTCTAGATGCTCTTGTTTCAGTAGGGTTTCTAGATTCTTTGATGAATCTACTTGATTCTTGAAGCTTCGAAATGTTTCTAGTTGTTCTGGTATTGGGTTCATTGTCAGAATCCGAGGATGAGTCAGCGATGCGATTTTTAGATGACCTTGTTCGAGTAGAGTGTATAGATTCTCTGATGGCACTATCCACGTTGGATTTGCAAGGTTTTCCAAGTTTTGAGACTGTTTCCCTGGACATTGTATTAGACTCAGAATCTGACATGTTCTCCATTCGGTTTCTAGATGCTCTCGTTTGGGTAAAGTCTCTAGATTCTTTAAAGGCAGTTTCGTTATTAGATTCACTAGGGTCTTGAAGTTTTGAGTTCTTTTGGTTTTTTCTTGTATTTGACCCTGTATCAGAATCAGAATCATTTTTGCAGTTATTTGATGTTCTTGTCTTGGTACAGTTTTTAGATTCTCTATAATGTTCTTGGAGTTTTGAGCAGTTTCTAGTTTTTCTTTTATTCAGTTCTTTATCAGAATCAGAGGAGTAGTTTCTAGATATCCTTGTTTGGGTGGGGTTTCTAGACTCTTTAATGACAAGGTCTTTATTGAATGTACTGGATGTATGGGTTTTTGAAACTTTTCTAAGTTTTCTGGTATTTGGCTCTTCAGAACTTGAGGAGTCTAAGAGGTTTCTAGATGCCCTTGTTTTGGTATTGTTTCTAGATATTCTATCCACACAATCTGTGTTAGGTTTACAAGATTCATTATGTTTTAAGATGTTACTAGAGTAAGGTTCTGTATCAGATTCAGAGGAATCATTAATGTAGTTTCTAGATGCCCTTGTTGATGTACAGTTTCTAGATTCTCTACTGCTTGTACCCATTTCAGTTTCATAATTATCAGAGGCTGAAATATCCTTACTGGTTCTAGATCCCCTTGTTTGAGTGTTCTTTTTCAGAATTTTTCTTGGTTTAGGCAAATCAGATAACGAGTTATCCAACTGGTTTCTTGATTGTGAACTGTTTTTAGTTTTTGTTTTTAATTCTGGTGTAGGAGGAGAGGAGTTTCGAGATTCCCTTGATTTTATTTTGTGACCACTTGAATCAACTAAGCTACTTGAAGATCTCATTGTTACGGCACTATTCTCCTTCTGTTCATTTGATGACTTTTCTTTAGAATCAGTAGATATATTCTTTTGTGGACTATTTCTAGATTGTTCTGATACATTGCCTGCAGTCAAGAAACTTTTCCCTCGACTGCTCCTTGTCAATCGAATATTCTCATTGAATGAGTTAACTGAAGAATCAGATGAATTTTGTGAATGCTGTTTATCTGGTTTGGATGCATGTTCTGTATTCTGGGGCTGATATGATTCCAGTGAGTGGATTGGCGTGGTTGTGCTTTTATACAGGAAGTTACCACTATTTACCAAAGAAACATCTTCAATGACACTTGATGTTTGAAGTGCATTGAAACTTTCCTCAGATTTGCTTGTACGTGGTTTCTTTCCTCTGTGATCCTGTTTGCTATGATCCATAGAGACAGATTTTTCTGAATTGTGTTTGATTTCTAAACATTTTGAAGATCTTGTTTTTCGGCTGTCTCCAATGACATCTTCTGTGTTAATCTTTGACATTTCACTTTGCTTCTGATCATCATTGTCATGTTCCTCATATTTCCCCCGATTCCTCAACCTCCGGGAAGTATTAACGCTAGTGATCGAAGTAGTTCCTGCATCATGAGCTTCAGATTCTTTAACAGTAGCTCTTCTGGTTCTTTTAACACAACCAGAATCTGATTCATTGTCTAACTCTTTAGCTTTACTTTGTTGTTGTTCATTTGTTTCATTTCTCATAGTTTCTTCACTATTATCTGTTTTCTTTCTTTTATTGGAACGATTGCTTTTTGAATTTGATTTTTTGCTGATTTCTGTTTTGGCAACTTTGTTTTCAACTTTGATAGGTTGAAATTTTGTATTTGTTGATTTAGAGTTAATCGCAGGATTTCCCCGAGATCTTGTCATCCTAGTACCAGTGGCTCCATCTTTCGTGGATTGAGATCTGGTAGATATTTTCAGCAAGGAATGTTGTGTGTTCTCGTCACTTGATGGAGAGATGATGTTATTGTCACAATCGTCAGATTCACTGAGAAAAGTTACCATGGAGATCTTCTTGGTTTTAGTAATCTTTTCGTTACTATGTTGTTGGTGCTTGCTGGATTTATTGTCACTTTGATGCTTTGTTGTATTGCGATGTGCTTGACTTGTGTTATCCTTCTCATCACTTGGAATTGAGTCATTATCAACATGCCCAGAATTTTGTTTACCAGGCTTATTCTTTACCATCTCACTGTCCATATGGCTGGTGTTTATATCATTTGTTTTTAGGGTATCAACCTTAGATGCAGAGACCATTTCATTGTTTGTGTCACTTATTGTATGTGAGTTATCTTTATCAGGACGACATGTTTTATCACCATGAAGGCCACTAGTCGACAACGAGTCATCCACTCTGTTTTGGGAAACTGAATGGACAATGCCATCAGAAATATTTATTTGTGAGGGTGTAATATCGAGATCATTGGCTTCACCAGATGATATCACAATTGTCTCAATATGTTTATTCTGTTTTTGGTCAGATTCAGCAGCAGTTTGTTCAATTGAGGTAGTATTTTGATCTATTTTGTTGGCATCTGATTTGACATCAATAGGTTTATCAGACTTTGAGATATCTCTTTTAATTTTTATTGAGATATCTGTTTTACAATCTGTTTTGTTGGATAAGTTTGAATCATCCACTCCAGAAATCTCAGACTTCTCATGTGATGAGTCACTAGATGTCACTATAAGATCATCAGATGCATTATATTGTTTTGAACTGGAAGGTTTAACTTGATCAATTTCAACTGGTACTTCATTAATAGTGACTCTCCGTTTGATTTTTGGAGAATTCATGGCAGGTTTATCAAAAACAGAATCCCCAAAGCTTCTTTCAGAAATATCTTCTGAAATGTCACTTCTTGATTTTTCACTATCTCGTTCAAAGCTCTCAGTTGATAAGCTGCGCGATGAATTACTTCTCGGGGAACTTCCACTTGAACAGCTTGAGATGCTCCTGGCTTTAGAGACACGTACAAAACCTTCGAGTTTCTTACATAGTTTTCCCTGTTCATCTTTATTCAGTGTTTTTTTAGCCTCAGATTGATGTCTATGTTTAACAGGAGGTTCAATACTGAGGGGAATATCGTCCTCCTTTGGCATTAACACACCACTTGCTTGACTGCTAAATAGTTTCTTTTTTGATCGTTGCGGTGTTCGCTGAAGCTCAGGAGCACTGGCACATTTCTCCATTGATTTTATGTCTGCTCTACTTATTTTCCGACCAAATAAGGCATCACTTGGACTAGCTTTTATTTTTGGACCATCAGTATCAGATGATAAGGCACTTTCATTTTCCAATTCATGGCGACGTTTTTCTTCTTTAAGTTTACGTTGCAACTCTTCCATACGTTCCCTGTTGTTATTCTCTTGGAGTTGCTCGGCTGTATATAGTGCAGTCGCATTCTTAAACGCTTTAGTCTTTGCTTGAATATCATCATCTTCATCTGGAGAGTCGGAGAGTACTCCTTGAATGTGTTTGTTAAATAATCTTCGTCTCTTCCTACTTGGAGTTGACCTGCCACTACCATATAAAGAGTCTGTCTCTAATGGGCGTTTATTTGGTTTCTTTAAATCGTCCAATCGGACACTCTCTGGAGAGTCTTTGTTTATGTTGCCCAAATCAGGGTATTTGATTTTATTTGATGGTGATCGACGTAACGTTCGAGGACTATTTGTTCTGGAAGTGTTACTCCTAGGGCTCTGTGCCCTTGGGCTTTTTAGAACTTTCATGTAAAGTTCAGCTTGTCCCGGAGACAGAGATCTACTGAGTAAATTCTTAAGCCGTTCTTCTTCAACACTATTATCTCTGTTACTATCAATATACCTGAGGTGAACAGATCTCATTTCTTCATCATTATAAAAGAGATCTCTATGATCAAAGTCTGAAGTTAGAGTTGGAGGAGGCGAGGTCGTGCCTATGAGTTTGACCTTGCATTTCAATGAGTCCAGGCTTATAGGGGTGGAAGGTTGCCTTTTAGAAGAACTTAAAGGGGTGGTAGGTTGTTCTAGAGAAGGGGTGGACAGATGGCCTGGAGTGTCTGTCTGTTGTGGGGATCCCCTAGTAGGAGTGTGGTAGTGAGAACTCTCAGAGCATTCTGAGGGACTGGACCTGATTGGTGAAATCTGGAAAAAATAAACATGACAAGTATAGATTAAAATCAATCAATTTCTTTTAGATTAACCCGTCATTAAATAGTAATGATTATACATGTACTATTTTTCAAGTATACTAGTATATCAAATGACTTCATAACATTTTCCATTGGTTCATCAAACAGACACCAAATCCAACAAGGTAGCAGTCACAAAAAAATGACAGAGTCTCGAGACAACATGTCACCATTTCTTTGCAGTGAAATAATAAGAATGAAACAAACCTGAAAGTGAGGTCTTGCAAAGCATTCCTCATCACCACATGGTATCTGAGTTGATTGTATAACATCCTTATTAGGACTGTCTCTATGGGAACAAGACATCTCCATTGGAGACAAGCTCTTATTCACTCTGTTTTTACACTCATAATTTCCTTCACTGTTTGATTTGGCTCCATTCTCTTGTGAATTCTCACATATTGTCTGAGGATTTGGCTTTGATATGTGATCTGAAGATGAGATTGGGTTAATACTGGACGGTGCTTTTAGGTTCTTGGTATCATTTTCTTGATTACAGACACTTGGGTGATCATCTTTTTCCTTTCCGATTGATTCAAGGTCTGAATCATTAATTTCTAGACGTATGTATTCATCAGTAGATTGAGAGGCAATGTTAATTTCAGCATGGTCGTTGTTACCTTGTTTACAATGTTTAATTAAACCACTTTGAGCATTTGCATAAGGGCTTTCAGGGTCCCCAGTTTGAGGGTTCCGGGATTGAGGGTCCTGAGAATGAGGGTCCTGAGACTGAGAGTCTTGTGTGTCTGGTATGGACCCACAACTCAGCTCCAAATCTTCATTTGGCACACTATGAGAATCACAAGAACTTGATGGTCCTGGTATAACTTTATTTTGGTTTTGATTTTTTGCAGCACATTTAGAGGTTATGTTAGAAGTGTGTTGATTTTTGTGGTCAGTGTTTCTTTTGTTATTCAGCTCTTGTAATCTGTCTCTGTTATATTGTGAACCCATCAATGATTCGCCAATCTCAGTGCTGACATTACATTGACCTTGTAGCCCAAGTTCAAGGTCATTATTCAATGAATCACCCACTTGGCACATGATAGTTTGTTTATGAACTGGTCGAGTATCAGACACTTTCGAATTTAATGGTTTTTCCACACCTGAGATCTCGGAATGAGATTTGCTCGATTGTTTTTTCAGTTTTTCAGCAGAGGACTTCAGGGTGGGTGTTAGTATCCCTTGAACGGAAGCCACAAAGGAATCTGGAAAATTCAAGAAATTTATACAAAATGCTGGAACAGTTATTTTAAAATACAGATATAATTGTTATGAAGATTTAATATCTGTTGGAATTTTACAGCTGCTTTTGGTGTAATATGTCAATTTCAGTCATGTGACTGTTCACGAAGTTGCCATCCCAGATGGGATGTATCCAATGTTTTTTATGATACTATGAAAATATATTTGAGAGAAAATGACTCCCTCATTTGCTATTGGGTTCAGATAAAAAATCACACTTGCACAATACCATCTCAAACCAAAACATACGCAAATGTACTTTTTCTGAACCATCAACTCTTCAGGGATTTACTTATTCTATGCAAAATTGCAAACCTTGGTTGTGTTGGGAGTCATTCTGTTGTGCTATATTCTCAACTGAAAGATCACCTTCAGGTGGGCTGTCACCATGCCACACTGAAACACAGAATAGCGAAGATATGTCTATAGTAAGAGAAATCGACTATGTATGTCACTAAGAATGTTGCTTACAGGATTGGTAAATTGCATGTAGTATACTAGATATAGTACAGATACTATAGTGTGTCATTCCAATCTGCACATTTTCCAAACCTGGACTAGTTAGTAGTTATCATTTTGTTTTGTAATATTTTAGTTTGTGGTTCATTTTCTTCTTTTCCTCTATTTTAAAATAATCCCCTGACTATTTTAGCCATTTCTGAGGAAATTCCAAAATTCAGAACTTTATCCCATTAAGGGCAAACCAAGAAAATATCTCCACTGTATTTGATCGAGTAACATATATGTAACATAACATATAACATATACATATAAGTCGATAATCTTTTTAAAACATGTATTATTGTAAAAACTTACCTTCTATTGCCTTCAAGGTGTTCTGATCTTGGGCACTAATGAAAATATCTTGTTTCGTGAAGATGTTATCTATAGTTGGAGCAGAAACACTAGAGAGGCCAATATTTGTTAGCCCTGACACCTCTCTGTCCAGGAGATTCTCAGCAGGGGCTAGAGATACAATTATACAGTTCATTATCGGACAACTAAACATATCAATTTTTCCAGGTTTTCTGAGTTTATTCATTTATAACTATGCTTCAAAGATAACATATATGGATACAATTTTTATAAATCTTGTTATCTAAACATTTTTTGGGAAACTAAAATATGGTAAATATAAAAGGCTGTTATGTTTCTAGCTTGTCAGTTTTAAACATTTGATCTACCCCCTTGGATATTAAAATATCAATATACCTATCACAATTACTTATGCAAATTCTTTACATCAAATTAGTTGCTGTGTTTTTTTAAACTATTTTTTTAAAAAAATTCACTTACCCAAATCATCTTGTGATTGGGCAGCCATTTCAGCAAGTAGGTCAGATATAGATGGCTCTGTACCACATGTTGACTCCTCTTGTTGTTCAGCCCTGAAATCATTGCATTTAGAGATCAATATAAACTGAAAACTAAGAAACTCAAATGATGTATTGTGAAAAAAATACAATATAAATACAATATGTATCACCATTATTGAGGCAATCTTGTAATTTATCATTAGATGTTTGCTAGAGTAGGGTCAAGATGATCCAGCAGGATGCTCATTTTTTGCCTTTCGGTTCGGTAGGTTTTTCGGGTCATATATTTAAAGTGGGCCCCATTATAAACTATAGTATCTTTCATACATTAGACTTTAAAGACACATGAGCATATTCTATTATTATTTTCACTATAAGAGGGGGAAACACCCCAGATTTCAAAAATGGCATACAGTTATCAAACTTGTAAAGTATACTGTACGCCCGGTATTATTCGCGTGCGATTTAGTTTCGCGCTTTTCGCGAGGGTGTTAAAATCGCGAAAAATTATCGTCGCGAAATTGCCAATTAAATCCCCGGGAATTTGTTTTTACCCGGGGCTCTGATGCATTTCGTTTTGTGTACTACTAGTACTCTTTGCTTTATACCAGGGGGCATTTCCCATAGATTTTTTGACCTTTGCTATTGGCACGTTCGATAACCAATTTTATAAACTGACCTCATTTGCCATTGAAATGGATACTAGTACTGTATCCCAATGTTCGCTGTTGCTTTATGAGTTTTCTCTACTAGTTTGGATCGAGTTATAGTACTTCAATAGTACTGTGCAACTCCATGACTTTACTATGCGCATGCGCAATTTGATTGGACATCATATACTGGGGAATCCCTGAATACGATAAAATACACTATGAAGTACGGTAAAGTTATTATGGGAGCCACGCACTTTTGCTTTAATATTAAAAATGACGATGCAATAGAGGTTGATATGCAGCTTGCCGATGATAAAGATCCCAGTTATTGTAAATCTCATCCAAATATAACATCAGGTAATTCCTGGAATAGTAATGAATTTCAAACTTGTGAAATTCGCGAAATTTAATAGCCGCGAAATCGTGTTTTCACAAAATTCGCGAAATTAAATCTCGCGAATAATACCGGGCGTACAGTATATTTTTACTATTCATGTAGATGTAATTTTGACTCTGGGAACTTCTAGATTTACATACGAAAGAAACAGGTTGCACCCACCAACACACCGACATCACACCTTTTCTTATAGGTATGATGTATTAAATAAATGTACTTTAACAATTAAACTTACTTCCACTTGGCCCAGACTTCTACAGCTTTGGATTTCACATCTTTATTCTCCATGCTGAAATATCAAAATATAATTTTCATTTAAAAAGTGCCACAGATAATTCATAGGGACACATTTTTGAAATATTTGTTAATGCATACACTCTCACTATAACGGTTTTTATTTCATTCATTAATAGGTTTTTAGATATAGCATTCGCTGATTGATCAGTCGAAGTAATTCACACATCTTTTTGAGAGTGTAAATACCAAAGGAGAAGTAATTTAAAATTTGCATGTCTATTAAATTACATAAGCGGTAAACAATATTCAAAGTCAACCAAAAACTGACCAATCGAAGGTGGATGTCGATCTCCGATGATTCTCCTGAAGAGCCCAGACTGTGAATGCTTTAACTGTCAGGAAAAACTCCACCTGATTCTGGAAAAATTCAACGTAGGTATTTTAACACATGCTACATTTTGCCAGGAGAAAATATCCTTTTTTCTAAATGTAACTTAATTAATATTAATATTCTTGATACACTTTATAATGTAAACAATTTTCAATTTAATTCAAATAATCTAAAGCATTGAAAGTTCCAGTCCCATTTTTAATATGCCATAGACTTTATATTAAACAAGGCATTAACATGACAAAATGTCACCATCCACAAATGGTTATTGGAAGTAATGAGATTATGTTACAGACTCCGACCACCAAATGTCGAACACTGTCCACAAAAATGTTGAAGACAATAATAACAATATGTCACCACTTTTGGCAGTGACATAAAAACTGAAGAAAGTGTTGCAAAAACACTTGCAAAAATGACCATGTACATGTATTGCCAGTCCCAGTGACATTTGGATGAGACAGGTTTACTTTAATATGTACCTGGTTAGCCAATGGCCTGTGATTCAACTCAAAATTCTTCAGTATGATGCGTGCACTGTCCCAATCAGGCTGACTCTCTTGGTCCCTAGAAATAAAAATTATATTCAATGTGAAAACAATGAAAATGAAAACATTTTCTGAATACATAAACATGATGTTTTGATATCACTGGACATCATAAGTAGAAAAATACTGTATTGACTAGATTGAAATTTTACAGTTTCTTAGTTTCCTTATTTGATGCATAAGTCGAAATATTTGCTTATTTCTGTTACATTTATGAAGAAGAAACAACAAATCAGAGAAAAGGGAAAACAAAGAAAGGTCAACAGGGGTCACTATGCATAAAAACTAAAGTAGCACAAATCACCAAATCTTCATAACTTACAAGATCTTCAGACATATCATTCTGCAAACCCAATCCCCAAAAAGTAAAGACAGATGATCTATTTTAATTCCTAGAATATGCCACTTACTGTGAAAATTCTTCCATGGCATCTGAAGTAAACACTGCCTTAATATAATGACTCGGCCTGCCATCTATCTCAGTTAATAACTTTGTAACTTCACCATTATCTGTTGGACCTGATAGATGCTGGAAAAGGTGATATTTATCAAAAAATTGGTAAGTTCTCTTAAATAAAGGTGAAAACAGTTTATACATAAAATCTGCGTCATTCATAAATTATTTGCATGAGTGTTCTGCCTTTGAGAAGAAGTCTTATAATTATGTAATAAAATCTATACAGTGCGTTAATTAACAGAACTGGAGCTGTCATATTGTTAATACTACAATAATCATGTTCAAATTATACTTTCATACAATGTGAAGAGATGTGTTCAATAATGACGAATTCCCATATTGGCCCGACAAACATATTTCCACATATTATTTTACAAGTACATGAACAAATCAAAGTTTTACAATACAATACAATATATTCTCAAGGCCACAGTAGATATAGGTGACACAGTCTAGCCATGCATGCCAATCCAAAACAAGGCTGTAACGCAATAAAGGCATTCGTGGCTGAACCGTATCACCTCTATCCACCATGAAGACCAAACTCAACCTACCTCAAGAACATCCAACTTCATCCCCGATCCATCTTTCTTGCCATCTTTAATTAGCTGTACCAGTGACTGCTCATTTTTCCACACATTCTTTTGTCGTCTTATGATGTGAGACATACTTGTAAATAGTCTATAGCGATATCTAAATCATGTCTTTTAAAAGGTAAATTGAATTTATACTTTTAATAATCTAATATGTTCATATACACAGTCACAATATGAATGTTGTCTTTTATTAACATTGTTTACATTCTTCTCCATTGTTTTTTCATCGAAATTTCTCTCTTTTTCCTCAAGGTTTCTTGTTTGATTTTCTCCTTTCTTTTCCTGTGACGCTCTTTTGTTAGTTCATCTGGCTCCTTTTCTTCTACGGCAGCATTTTTGATCATGTTCTCAATTTTGTTCAAACAATCCGTCTGATTTATATTTTGTTTTCTCGATATCTGTGACGTTACAATAATGAAACCATCTTTGGTTATACGACCCGATTCTTGCTTCATCAATTTCAATTTTAAGTCATCGGTTAACCAATCAGCTGATTGAATATGAAACCGTACTTCAACTTTAGAATTTGTTGTATTCACATGTTGTCCACCAGGTCCGCTACTCCTTGAGAATGATATCTTGACTTTATCAATGGGAACAGAACCTGAATATTTATCACTACTGTACAAGTTCCTTAGCAGGAAACTAGGTGGTTTATTAGGGGAGCAAGTTGTGGATATGATTCTGTTTGTAGCTCTTATTAGAAAACTCATCCTACTTTACAAATATTCCAAGTCTATCGTGAGTGCATCAATGTTGTCAGGTCTTGTATATGGTACAACCTGCAATCAGTAAACAAATATGATAGATCCATAAAAGATGCCCAAATAAGCATCCCTATTATTATATATATGGTTTTAAAAGAAGATTTTGAAATAACTGCAACCTGAACCAAATTTTTCCAAACCTGTCTCAAAAATATTCTAAATTAGACCATGGGCTTTCAAGAGAAGAGTATACAACTCTGTGTTATAAACATGAGAACTTCAAATGAGCAGTGCCATGCTTCCCTTTTTATGATAATATTTCAAAAAGTATTAGATAAATATATAAGTTTTGGTGTTATCTTGAATACGATACGTCAGCGTAACAAGATGGAAGAACTTCCGGGCTTCATATTCGGTAAGATATTTCTATTTCTAGATTCTTAGTAACACCACTTATAAGCAAGTAGTGGACAATACTTTGGCTCAAAGTTAGTTAGGAAGATAGTTTAGTTTGAAAATATGCAGGTGATTCTATGTTTGGTATATTAACGAAGGCGCAATTCACATATTTAAGCTTGGTCCCTCACTTTTGTTACGTTGACGATCTTCGTGAATATTGTCACATTGGCAATAGACTCTATGCGAATATTTGATTTCAAATTTTATGATTACGACATAACCTGTATACAGCAGTAAAATAACATACAGGGATTTATCTTTGGACGAAGGCCTTGGAAGAAGGTAAAGCTAAGCCTAACAAAACAAAACAGATGAATATTGAAAATTTCATTCATCTGTTTTGTTGCTAGAGTCAATACGTCCAAATCCAAACAGGGGGGTAAACACGAACGGGTTCCAAATAATGGCAAGTTGATCATTAAATTGAATAATAGTACCTCTACTACCTCTACATAATATTTATAGCCTGAAAGATACAATATAATGATGTATACCAACAATCTTACAATAAAATAATCAATTATGATGATTTAGGTGTTCGGAATTACCCCCATGCTAGTGTTTGGAATTACCCCCACAAACTCTGTGCGTTTAAATAAATAGATGTCAGTAATAAATGATTTAAATTTGGGTTTCTTGATATGCAGGGGTGACAGGATCAAGTATCATAAGTTAAGGGTATCATATAATGATATACCATCAATCTAATAATTAAAACAATTAAGTTTAAGTTAAGTGTTTGGAATTACCCCCATGCAAGTGTTCGGATTTACCCCCCAAAAAAACTCCTGTTCGGAATTACCCCCCTAAAATACCTTGTAGTAAAAATGGAATAACCCAGATATTTTTTACAATTTTTCGTAATTTTTTCTGCAAATGCATTCTACAGTGGATAATACACATAATATATATAGAGAATCATAGCATAGATGTGCAGTACATCCAAGCTAACTACATTTTTTGATGGGGGTGTTTGGAAATAGACGTACTGACTCTATTGGATTTTCGACGTGATCCGAAGGCCGTCTATTTTAGATTCTTGATTTCAAAGTACTTACGACATGAGGCTGTACCATCGGATAACAGTTGTATGAACAACATATATGAGTGCAATTATAGATGATTTAAGTTATATTTACCTGCACAGATGCAGAGGAATCTATATAAATATCAAGATTTTCAAAATTTAATACGACCGCCATTTTTGTACATACACATAAAACGATGACGTCACTGTACTTATCACGAAATTTGAATATTAAAGATGCAGTCTCTATAAAGACTGACAAGACAAGTTGAAATTAGACAGAACATTTATATCAATATATTGCAAAATATTTTGAAAATGCAATGATATCAGTGAATTCAATTTGACATAAACCTTACTATTTATTATATTTTTTTATAATAAATCTTCAAAATGATGTCTAACTCGATGGTTGGTTTGTAATTATCTAGATAACCCTACACCTTACCAGTGCTTACATGAGGCTCAGAAAAATGTGAAGGGGAAAAATTGACAAAAATTGTCACATCTTGCATTGAAATTGAATTGTAGCCTACTCTCTCAGTCCCAGTATAACTTTACATGCCAAGACATCAAAAGAAAATTCTAGCTAGCTTTAGAACTGGGTCCCTTATAACACTCCTTTATTGGAAAGGAAGTGTAAACTGTGTGACTCAAATGAAGTTGAAGATGAATTACATTTTCTTGTTAAATGTTCACATTATACAGAATTAAGAGACATGTTGTATCAGGAAGCCAAAGTTAAAGTACCTTATTTAAATACTTCAAGTGCCAATCCAACCTTAATTATGATCACATTACTACATTCAAAGAACATTCAAAGCTGCCTTGTTGCTACTCTTTACAAAATGTTCTCAAAACGTTTATTTAACCTGGAACGTTTGTGATATTAAATATGTGCAATATTATCAACCAGTCATAATTACTGTATTCTCATTTATTGCATTTTGAAATCACATGTTTATATTGTATGTTATTTAACTCTAGTCATTTTGTCTGTGTATTGTTCACACTCTGCAAACTTACTCTACATCCTCTGTGATATTATTCGACATACCGATGCTATATTTTTCTATTGACTATCTTTGTATATTTATATGGTGTCTCGTAAGCCGATGTCGGCTGTTGGGTTTTTTAATACATGTATTTTACTTGTAATATTTTAGTAAACCTGTGACACAGAAATAAACTATTATTAAACTAAACTGTGTAGTACTGTAGTACAGTCCAGCTGTAGTGGCTTAAGCCTTTATAGCTCAGTCGGTACTCGGTAGAGCATGAGACTTCGGATCCAAGGCTCCTAGCTTCGATTCTCACACAGGGCATTGAATTTAGCACATTTTCTTTCAATTTCTTTATCTGGCTTGTTACACAAAATCATGCAGTTTTTTACCATTTTGAGCACTTCTCGAGTGATTTTAGCCATATTTGGCCAAATTATTGTCAAATGTGAATCCCCCTGGAAATTTTTGAAAACTGACCCCCCCCCCCCCTTGGCAAATCCTGGCTACGGGCCTGCACTGGCCCACATTTGTACATATCATACGTGTCTCTGACTGATGGTCTTTTACACTATTTACACTACAGTCACCAAATGCTTATATCGACTCTTGACAAGAAAGTAGATGCTAATATTTTGAACAGCTTAAGAAAGAAACTGTTAAATAGAGTATGTACATCATGCATAATGTACGATAAGGAGAAATTCAAATCCATATGATGGAAATTAGGAGAAATGAATAACAATGCAATTTAGTTTCAATCCGGGGGTTCAGTTTTCAAAAAATCATGCTGTACCTTTATTCATTCAAATTTCGTGATTGCTATATGGCAGTCATTTTGAATTCCATTTTCCCACCTACACAGGTATATCTGACGTCATCGGTATTAGCCCTAATCACAAATCGGGAGAAGTTTTACTGAAGTAGAGTTATTATTTTAGGATTTATAACATCAAATGAAGTCGGATTTTAGAAACGATGTCAAAGAACGGTAAAGTAGCCATTCCGGCAGGGAGTGACGTCATTGAAATCAAAAGCAAGGTCAGTAATAAGACGGATAAATTGTTGAAAAGTGAGGACTTTCCACACCCTTTTTCAAAACAGTTCAATTTTATTCTTTTCATTTTTCCAGGCACATTTCTACTCTGATCCTTTTATTAACGGGTCATATCCGAAGAACTATAAATAATACAAATAAATAACATCATATCTAAAAGACTGTACATGATAGTTTTACACTTTTATTTGAAAATTTCAATTCAATGTCTTGAATGTGCTCTCAGTCGAACATTGCATTTTCAAGTTACAGTCTAGTTTTGTTCCACAGGTGTGCTTACCTTACCTTAAACCTTACCTGGTTTGGTAAAATAGAATTAATAATGGATTACGCTAAACATCAAAATTATGCATATCCCTAATCTGATCAGTATTTTGTGACTTCTAATAACTTTTGTATTGGAGGTACATGTATCGTTCACCTTTTATTGACACTTGGTATTCATCTCGATTTGACACCTGTACACTATTTTAAACTAATCAATGGTGTAACTCTAGTCCAGCTATTACAATTAGCAGCTTTTAGAATGAATGTTGAAATCACCAGTCCGTGATGTGATGTATTACGAAAATAGACTTGAACTGGGACATATAATTTATTTTTATATGAGATGGAAGCAGAATTTAGAATTTAAGATTATCAAAGATTGTCATTTCCAAAGAAACAAATTCCACGTTATTAATTGTTATTAATTACTTGCATTGTGGGACCATGATTCAAGTTCCAACATTCTAGTCAAGTAAATATGAATTCCTTGCTTCTGAATAATGCAACAGGTTCTGTTTACAATTCAAGAATATCATTCATAAATTTTCAATGAATGAGTCATGACTGTCACATTGGAGTGAATGATCGGCTATTCTCATTGAAATCTGCCATTGATTCAACAAACTACTTCCTCAAAGTTGACAATAGGGAGTTATTTAATGTCCCACCCACTCCTTCATGTATGGGTATTATTAGATTTTTTATTTTGTTTAAATTAGGTCAGGCTCATTTAGAATGCATCTCTTACTCTCCAGGGGATTGCAGTATTTACTGCTTTAGTACGTGAAGCTATCTTTTAAAGAAGTACATGAAGTCTAGAAGCAAAATCAAGCTTTTGAAAAGGGAATAGAATGATATTTTTAACTGTACTAAATGACACAAATTAATAATTAAAAACGACAAAATTATTTATGATTTATATTTTGCTACTTTTTAAAATTAAAGATAAGAAAATTACTATCGTTATCTACAGGAACTTAATTATAAACATGACAGAACATAATTTTTGTAAATAATTTGCGAATATAATCTATGTGCTTGTATCCAAAATATGATAAATCACAACTTTGACAATATAATTAAATGTTGATCTGATTTCATCTTTATTTCCTGTGAAAGCATACCTGAAATTTGAGATCAAAGGCATAATAGTACCATGGCACTGAATGAAATTGAGAACTAGTAGTGTCTTTACATTATTCATTGTAAATGTTATTCATTATAGAGTTAGTGGGAGAATGTTTGAATGTTCTCATTTGATTAGCATTGATTAAGAGTTGTTTACCTAAATTTTGTAAAAACAATATCTATCTTCTACTGGGTGTTTACCAAAACAATTAATCTGTAAATGCTGTATATAAAGATCCAGGGGCTCATAATTATTTATTAATCTCTTCAGTATGCATGCAAAAAGGGTGTAAAAGAAAATGTCAAATACATATTGCTCCTCTCACAAAAATATATGGACTAGTAACTAGTCTACTCTTTCGTATGCACAATTCAAGTTTCTGCCCCCCCCCCTCATACTCTTACTATATCTATTTTCCAATTTTGTTTCTGTTAAAGATTTGGACAAGAGGCTTATCTCAGGGCTTAATGTAAGACTATTATGATGTACATAAATTAATATAGCAAAGTATGCTATGTATATTTGGAACATGTATGAGTCATGTGATGTTGTTATTTATGTCATCATTACATCGCTAATAACAGTAATTAATGGATACCCTTACAAAAAATCTCATGTGTCAAATGTCAAACTGCAGAAATAAACAGTTTAAAAAAGTGAAGACTGGTATGAGGCAAATGCATTTTTATTTGGGAATTCTGTGAAATTTGTGGAATATATCAACTCATTTGAAACATTTTTTGTTTTTTTACGAGGGTAAGCAGCCATTATTAACATGTGCAAATAGCATACCTCAAGGTGTTAACTATGTACCTTGTAATAATACGAATACAGTATCTAGTTATTCAAATATATGTAACATTAATATTGAAATATGTAACTGGAGAATGAAAGTGGAATATTAGATTGACATAGCTTGTAATTATCTACCAAAAAAAATCATTTGAAATTTTACTTGAAAACCCAGCGAGTACCTTTTTGAGAGGTCAAATAACATTTTTGTCACTTTACTTATCTGGATGTTAACTATGACAATGCTAGTATACGATTGACAGCTCTATATTCTAAAGAAGTGTTTAAATGTTGTGAGTCATTGCATATTTATTTCAAAAATATGTGAAGTGGAATGTGTAGTTTTTTATTTTTGAACATGAAATTATATTTTATCTTAACACGTATCATTATACTTCGTGTATCTACTATTTAAGAACACTCAGAGGTCAGAGGTCAACTGCCAATCAAACTTCAACTTTTTGTATCAATGTGAATTTGTGACTTTACAATAATTCATACATGTTATAAGAAATTCCCAGCATATTTTTTTTTTTTTTTTTTTTTTTTTTTTTTTTATTAAGAAATATTTATTGCTTCATAAAAATATCATAATATAAATCCCAGCATATTCATTAGAAACTTTTAACAATTATGTTTATCAATGCCTCTTTCTATAACCCATCATGCTCTTTGTTAGTACCTCATGATCCTGATTGGTTGATCATTTTTGCATTTTAGATTGCAATGCATTGTAGGTGTTTTGGATGATGTCATAATGGTAAATCGATAGGAAATTTATGAATATGAGTATTTTAAATAAGCCTTATATTTGGGGTATGAAATAACAAATCATTTACTTCTTTCAGTTTGATGCAGAGTTCAGAAGATTCTCAATCGACAGAAAGAAGCATACGAAATGTGACGATTTCTTGAAATTAGTGGAGGGTTTGCACAACATCTCACACATTCCATTCACAGTAGCGTACACAGACGTCAGAGATGGCGACTTGTTACCGATCAACAATGACAATAACTACGAAAAAGCATTATCTATAGCAAAACCTATACTGAAAATACATGTGCAAAAGAAAGGTAAGTTGAGAACTTTTACACGAAAATTGACTTGTAGCTGTTGTTTGCCAATTTTGTTCAGACTTTGCCAGTTTTTCATATTTCTTACCTAAAAAAGCATGAATCTGAACATAAGAGTTAGATGACAGTTAAGTTGAAGATTGATACTTCAACCAAATCACCATGGTAATAGACATGCCTAAATAGCTGGTTTCAAGATTCTTTCCAAATATGGAATATGCGAAGATTCCAGGTTTCTGTGACATTGTTGCCTAAACTAAATTCCTACTGTTACTGCATTTGTCATTTTATGGTATTTTACCAAGGTGGATTGGCTCCCAGAGTGCAACATCGATATTCTGTTCCATATATGGGCATGTTGTGATACAAAATTTGAATTCAGACAGTTGCCATTTTGTTCACTTCAACATTTGAACGTGAATTTTGGTCTTATTTCTAAACGAAAAAATTTCAAAACTCTCAGAAATGATCGAGATATTGGTTCCAATCTTTTGGACTGTTTATTTTGAATTCATAGTCGGTTTAATTTCAGAAAATAGAAACATTTCGAGTTTCGATCCTGGGAGCCAAACCTCCTTGGTATTTAATTTTTCAATCTAATGGGAATACTTTGTAATTCAGTTACATAGTAGACTTGTTAATGGTTATAAATGGTCATTTAGAAAACAGCTCGTTTGTTGATTTATTTATTTACTGACTGGTATGTCAAACACTTCAGGTTAAAATGTCCCAGGTTAAAAAGTCCTAGATCGAAACACTTATGATTGTTAAGAAATGTAGTTCCTGAAATATTGTATTCTGCAAAGTTCAAAACAAACATTGCTCAAAAGCGAACATGATAGTGTGGCATTTATGTGACAAATTTTTATAATACATGAATAGTAACTCAAATATGCTATAGTCAAAACTGTCTTAGTGAACAACTCTCTCTAGTGCATATTTTTCTGTTGATGGATCTGGGACAATTTTGAATGGAATGCTTTAAGATTCGGTGCATTGGTTAAGGTGTTATCACGCAATGGAGAATAATTCTTGTCTCTAAAGCTGTCACGATTGAATCAACTCTTCACTTTTTTGAACACAGTTACTACCACAAATCACATATTAGCAAGCATGGTATGAGACCTCCAAACTCTAGGTCAAAAATTTGAAAATTGGTGCAGGTATATTTCCTCACCTGGTTGAAAATACATTGTGAGAAACCATCGAAGCATGTTGGACAAGTTTTGCTAGATTTGAACGTTCCATTCTTATGATTTTCATTCTATTGTTGGTTCTTCAGTATCTACTCTCTCACAGGAAGAGACCAGACAAGCACTAGATAAAGACTATTAAAGAGGCACTCTCACTGAAAAATCAAAATGATCTAATTCTGTAATTTTTAAAATTAGAAATAAGATTTTTCACAAATTGAGGGGGGGGGGGCATTATAAACACTTCAGCTTCTCTACAAAGAGAATGATACTTCAATTTGATGCCTTAATGTAAAGCATGGCCTCTTCAAATGTAGATCACTGGATAGGCCCTAGGGGTAGTCTAGCTACAAGCCCTTGTGCCCCCCCCCCCAGCCCCCTAAACACCTCCCTCTGTGTGAGAAGGTGTGTAGTCTCGTAGAGGAGGAGGTCACAGAGCTAGACTTCTTACAGGGCTAACCTTGCTAATATTTTGATTTTGCATTTTTAAAAGGAGCTTCGTCTACATATTGTACTTAAGCTCTGACCCTTGGGTTAAAGGGTTAGTCATGTCCTACCTGAAATCATATCCTTGTCAAACATCTGTATGTCCTTTTGGAATATGATCTTTTGCATATGAGCTTTGGGAAACATGTTATTCATATGAGTTTAAGGTAGCCATAGATGATGATTTTAAGACATTATTTCATGTTATAATTTATAATTGATTATGGTAAATATTACCCCAAGGGAACAGCCTAGTAAGATTAGGTTGAAGCTCTCTTTCAAAGAGGCAAAATCATCAAACTCTTGAAAAGAGTAGCTCTCAAGTGGCTACATTCAAGGGTTTTATATTTACATGCAAGTGAATGTGAAATGTTTCACAAAAGTATGACTTTTTCAATATAGCAGGTTAAACTATGAATGGAATCTTGATTTGAAAACTATATAGACCCTATACTGCATAGCTCCATATGTAAAAAAAACGTTCTTGTTTTGAATTTCTGAGAGCATGAGTAACTTTCAACATGGTCCTTAGGGTCTAATTACAAGATGTATGTTAGACAGGTGAAAATGACTAAAACAGAACTTCTAATGATTCCAGTAAGCTTTCCAGGTTAATGTCTTATCTTTGATGTTCTGGTGAGTAAATTATGAAACCCCACCTCTCGGGAAGCACCTGGCTGAACACTACTCAAATGTACACCCCCCCCCTTCTGATTACTTCCTCCCCACAGCATAATTGAGAGGGAAGCTGTGGGGGTCCATCGTCTTGAGCAAGACCATTGATAAATGAACATTTCGTGGCTCTTTTTTATTTCATTCCTTTAACATGGTATCATTTCTTTGACACTTCATAGTGTATTTAGTCAAGTTCTGACTATTGCATCCAACTTATGTTGACTGTTATTTTAACTGGAAACGATGGTGGAGCTGACAATGGATGGGGAAAGAGACATACTAATGTACTTCGTGAATCTGCCATTCCTTGAGGCAGTTTGCTTCGTACATAGTAGAAATAACTTAGTATTCAACATCACCAAGCAAATAAAAAGAATCTTTATGTGAACTCATTGAAGAATTCATAATCTCTATCATTCATGCATTTCATGGGTGAAAATGTTGGCAAATGTACAACTTCATATCATCCAACTTGAACTCTTTATCCAGTTTCTAGTCTCTAGTCTCTCAAAGCCCTTTGCAAACCTCTATTTCATCTCTGTCCCTCTAATTTTGGGTCATGTACAGAGTTTTGATGCAAGACTTCAGGTTCAGATCCTAACTCTGTCCCTTTTTCAGAATAAGAGGTTACTCCTTGTGCCAGATTTGCTTGGTCCTGCAGACCTTCACCCTGAGTATCAGAGGCTGTTGTAGTAAATGAAGGCCACTTTTAATAAAGCAATATCAAATATTTGGAAATGGTTTTTGTCTTAGGGAGATAGATACTTTTATGTACACGTAGTGTCCTATTCAGGATTTAACTGAAGATCGTGATAAGTTCTCATTTTTACAATTTTGACTGAAGTTAGTCAAAATATTCATGATTTCTCACATTTCAAGTAGGTGCAAATTTTAAAATCTCAAGTGGGTACTGCTTTGGTTAATGCATGCCTGTCAGATCACTGGCAGGATGATGGCAGAATATCTGCTCTAGAACTGGAGTGAGAGTGAGTCTTTGAAGTTAGGATACCTGTATCAAATAGCCAGATACCTTGGTATCTTTATTACTTCCATTAATCATTCTTGAGAAAGATGGCCCAACCTCATCAATGTCTTATCTGGGAGTTGAACATCTCAACCATCTAGCCGCATCACCTGTCAAGTCTGGTGTTCTGGTTGAGGTTGGTTCAGTATAGAGGGATGGTGGCCTCAAAAACTACATATAACATAAGAATCTTAAGACCTGCAAGTCTGTTGTTGGTGATGTGCCTATATCAGGGTGGGGTTTAATGTATTAGTTGATCATAGATGAAGCTCTCTTTTGAGAAGCAAGATCAAACAATTTGAAAGGAAAGTTATTGTTGAAATTAGTTTATATGGTTGTGAATGGAGGGGTCAGGGGTTTATACTATGAAATGAGACTAATATTGTTATGTCTATTGTCTACTGAATAGAGTATTTCAGTGCCTGATCAGGAAATTTGTTGACAACATTTTGCATCATGATATACCATGTCATCTCATTTCTTCTCAGCCCTGAGATGCCATGATATAATGAGCTTGATTTGGCGATCCAGGAGAGCCCAAAATTGAGGATTTTTGAGATCTTTCATCCCAGCTCATATTTCATTTAATTGGGGTCATTAAACTTGTGTACACGTACCTGTGCTAATATCTGCTGTTAAATACAATGCCTATTATGTAATGTATTGACATTAGGTAAATGATTACATGATAACTATCACACTTATTGACAGTTATAACTCTTCCCATCTGATGTGCTCAGATCACAGAATATGCTTCATAATATCAGAGCATGTTTCAAGTGAAACAGAAAGATGCTATGAGTATCAGAATGACATTTTGTGTCATTTTGACCTCTCAAATTCCAATTAAGGTTTTTAAAATACAGGTACGTGTAATTATAGTTGTTACATAGCACTATGCAATATTGATATCTGATGTTGTGCTCTATGATAACATTTATGCAAGGAAGATTGACTTCCAGCATTCTTTCCCAATCTTCTTTTGACTGGCATGGACCAATATAGAAATAATGTTACTGAAATGTTCATATCTTGACCAAGTTTTTAGTTGGAAGATGAACATCCTCACCATATTATAACCAAATTGGCCCAAACCAGTCAAAAGAAGAAACAAAAGTATGTTGGAAAGCAATTCTCCTTGCATTTATATTAGTACATGAATGTTTATCAGTTGTATCCTTGTGATGGGTATGTGGATGACATTGGTGTATATTAATCATGTCATCTGTTGTTGTTTGAGGTCTGTATGATCAGTGACTTATTGGTAAGGTCATATAGATAATTCAAGTGCTCTTCTTTAACTCTTATACACTGAAGGATTATCTGCTCTGGGATGGCCTGATCTGTCTCATCATCTTCACTGTTTTCTGGTCCACTTTGTAAACTTAGATATTCAATTCATCCTTGGGGGAGAGAAAGGGGGTAGGTGTCATAAATCAAACATATTGATTATGAAGTATATATGAACTAATTAACAACTCAAGTTGCAATTTTTATTATTAAATCCAAGGATTTTTTCCAGATTTGCCCCTTCTTATCCCTTTGGATTTTTATCTTGAGAGTTGAAACCAAGAATTTTTGATCTTATAAAGAAATGACCATTTAATCTTTATCATTCAAAC